CTCTCCCCGTAACTGTTTTCCTTCTTTCCCTCTTTCTCCCGCTCTGCTCTTTGCACGCCCATTTCCCTTTCTTGATCATCTGAATCTTGGACCCGTTTTGCGCTACTTCTCGCGCCTTTCTCTTCTCACCCTCCGAGTCCAACGCACGACGCCCGGTCGATCCGTTCGCCAATCAGGTGCGTGGATCAATAGGATCTTCCTCTTTGCGCATAACTCCCGTTCGCCAATCAGGTGCGTGGATCAATAAGATCTTCCTATTGCGCAACGAATCTGATTGGTTGAACCTCGAGTTCCGAGGGATCAACATGGCGTTCACAGAGCACTCTTCTCAAAGTCTTCTCCTCCTGCTTCTCCTCTTACACATCAGCTTCCCCGTCGCTTTCTCTCCCTTCTGTCTCCCTTGTCGCAACTATAAAACCCGCAAGCGCGCCCGCAAACCTCTCTTACGTTCTCGACTCTCAAGCCAGCTTCCGGGAAGCAGTGGCTAGGCAGAGTGTTTGGTGCAAGTCGGAAAGTCCTGTCGCGCTGACGATAGGCTGGCCAGTTGCGCGCTGGATCGCCATGACGGACTGTGGGATCTGGGCGAACCGTGTCGAGTTTACGACAGCGGGGTGACGATCGCAGTGGTGGGAGTCAGCACGCGGCGGCCCGGATCGTCGGTGCAGGTATGAGGATCGATGAGTGGAGTTGAGTGAGTGATTGGCCCAGGGCCATATTGGAATTAACGGCGAATGCGCCTTTGTTGTTGCGGATTTTTTTCTTCGACAACGCTAAACCTCCTTTTGGGTTGCGTCATCTCCTATCTCGACTCTCCTCCCTCGCCTTCCCCTTCTCCTCTATCTTTGAATAATGATGTGTATCGATGCTTCTTTCCTTCTCTCCCTTTCTCTCTCTTGGATGAGCATGAATCTGTATGCTTCCCTTGCGTGAAAGAACTTCTTCCGGAACTCTTTCATTAGTTTCCTAGGTAATCCTCCTACGCAAGGACCCCGTCTTCTTGTCTTGTGAACGGTGGATGCGTGTGTACTGTGCAAGCGATCCATCTTTTCTTGTGCATGCCTTATTTTTTGCACCTTCCATAGTGGATGTATGTATGGAGATGTGTGACCCCCTTTTTTTGCGTTGATTAGACGATTATCGTTGGGATTTTGTTCGAGAATGCAAGAGTGTTTAGATCTGTAGATCTGAATGTACTGCGCATGCCATCTGCCTTATGCTGCATGACATCAGTTGCCGAGCTATGGGGCGGCCTCGAGAAACAAGGCGCCTGGGATCAACGTCGCGCTGACTCACTAAACCTGAGCCGCGGACCGGTCCCTTAGTTATATGCATGACCTAGCTGCAGAAGTATCTTCTTTCGCCCTCTCTCTCTCTCGTGTTGAAAGGGATTGATTGTGAGTTGCGCAAGTGTTTTCTTTTCTTAATGACGTCGCCAGGTCTTTACAATTGATTGATATGTGGATTGATTAGTACCCTCCGATCGGGCACCAGCGTCCCGTATCTCCCGTCCCAACACGGCCTTTTCCCTACAACGAGGGAAGGACACGTGTATGCGAGTGGGACGTACGAGAAACTGTTGCACAAATCGACGGGCGGTATTACTTTCCCCCGGCAAATCGTTGCTCCGGGTCCGTGGAAGCTGGGTTTGTCATTATCGATACGCACTTCCCACCTTACTCGATATTGTTGCCATTCAACGAATTGATCCTCATCCCGTGGACGGCAGTAGAACCCCACTAGCCGCGCACTCTATGCACCGAATGTCAGCGTTTTGAGCGCTACGAATCCAGGGGTTTCCACTACCGTGTGCGGAGTGAAGACGAGCATAAAGAAAGAGCCACGCGGCTGAGACCATCCACGTCAGACTCGGAACTAACCAGCGAACGACGACGAGATTTGATACGAAAACGAGACACGCGAAGCGTGCCAAAGCCTTTCCGTTTTAAACGACGGACTGTAGCCCGGTGGGAAGCCCGACAATACTTTTTGGATTGAATTTGGATTTTTCTCTTTTCGCGCCGTGCCCGCGCGCGCATTCCGCGACGCGCGAAGGCAATCGACGTGCTTCATCGGACCAACACGGGGGATTTCAGTTCCATCTGTGTCCCCACACTCAATTTCCAAAAATCCTTGGCACACCCCATCTTGCTGTTTTTCTGGGCCTCTTTCCGCACGCCTAACACTCCGAACGAAAGACAGCACAGGGCGTGAGGTTTCGTGTCACAAACGTGCGGTCAATACCGCTGCATTGGGACCAAAAGTTGTGCCAAATACAGCTATAATGACCGGGTGTTCTATTCGGGTAAAGACGGTAGTCAATAGGGTCAACAAAAGCTCCAGATACACCAACATCACATAACAATCAGTCTGTGCCTTTCCCACATTTTTCTCCCATGCTCCCTCTCCTCTCCCTATGGCCCAGACTCTCTTTTTCACCCTCACCTCACTTCTGCTCCTATCCTTAGCCTTGCAGTTCTCTCACTCTCCCTGCCAACTTCTTTTTTCCCTTTGTTTGAGGGTTTAGGGTTCAGGGTTACGGATACAACGAATCAAGTTTGCACGGGCGCAGGGTGGTGGATTATTGTTCGTGGATGCTGGAGGACAGGCAGGTGTGTCTGGGGGGATGCAAGAGGAGAGTTGAGGGGCTGGGTCAGCTGGAGGTTGTGTTTTTTTTTCTTATATTGCAAGGGTGAGATCCCACTAGCAAAGATGATTGGAATTAAGGACGGAATCTGGACACGTTTGTTGACAGGTGCAGAAAATCGGGACTGACCTGCTTTTCTGCATCTTCCCTACGCCCAGTTTCAGGTGCTTAATCCTGTCCTATTTTTGCTGGTGGGACCTCACCCCAGGAGAACAGGTCAGTGTGGCATTAGATGTTGGACATGTGGCCCCCGGCCTCTCTGTCTCCCTGCCAACGTTCTTTTTTTTTTTTTTTTTTGCCCTTYTTYTTYTTCCTTTTTTTTTTTTTTTTTTTAATACTCTWTTCTCAATTTCACCTCACACTACCTACCTACCACTACTCGTAATTGTAGGCATACGGGGAASCCCGTAGCAGCCAGAACCGTGTTCGCGAGAGAACATGCGGGGGCTACTCCCGACTCCCAACCTGCAGCTGGGCGATACCGGCTAGGGGACAGCCAGTAGCATCAGGGACCATGCCAACAGGACCAATCCCTGTGCCTCCCCTCAGGTGGTGGTCCCCACCCCTACGAACATCAGCAGACTCTGCTCAATGCGGATCGGGGGATCCAGTGGTCCATCTGTAGGTGGCGGGCGCCAAGCATGCCCAGGAAGGTACATGAGCCCATGGGGATTGAACCCACGTACTCCTGAATGCCACTTGCGTGCCTTACCAACTGAGTTAGGCCACTGGATCCCTTCTTCAAACCCCTTCTTTTTTTTT